ATTTTCAACTGCATGCGCTTGTCATTAGCTGTCAATCCCTTTCCCATCAAATAATGATATTTCAAAGTCTGACATAATTTATGAAATTAAACAAGTGGCATTTTTTTTCTAACGGCAAAAACAAATTGGCAAAAAGGGCAAATTAGCCCCTGTACTCTTCACATGGTGGCAAATCATCCCCTCAACTAAAAATGATGGTAAGTGAACCCTCAAACCCTGAAATGGTGACAAATCAGCCCCTATTTGACCGATGATGTCATCATTTCGTTAAAACTAACAGCAAGTTCAATTTTTGTGGCCCCAATTGCTTACTTGGCAGTGATATGGACATATAAATAGTAAACATGGATGTCATTTAGATGATTTGGTAGTAGGGTTAGACCTGGTAAATAGGTTGGATTAGATCATTTCAGATTTCGGGTTGTACGAATTGGGTTATTTTTGGTGTTGGGTTAAGAAGATTTACCCATAATTTATCTACATGGGTTTTGGATTGTATCTGGTGGACTCAACTTTTAAAAAATTAAAATTAAAATTAAAATTAAAATTTTTCTATATTTTTCTCTTTTTTCTTTAACAAAAGCTAATACTAATTAACTATTTAGTTAGAAAACTTTATTAAACATTAATTTCCATTTCATAATTCAATTTTTTTTTTTCAATCTCAAGAAAAGAAAAGGAAAAAATTAGTGATTATATAGGTGAAATTAAAATATATGTCAAATATATAATACCTATACAATATTTAGAATTCATAATTTCATAAAGGTATTAATCTTCATTAAAAGAAAAAACATGAAGGATTAGAGTTCAAAAAACAAATCCAATATATATTAATATCTAGTGCCTATTCAATATTTGTAAGAGCATTATACAAAAAATATAGTTCTATTTAATATTTAGGAGGGTGTTATACAAAAAATATAGCCTTATTCAATATTAAAGTTTGAAAGGCAAATCCAAAATATATCTAACCAAATACAACAAGAAATTGGATCGGAATTGATTTTTATTAATTAAGAACAAATTATTAATTAATAACAAATTAACAACTAAAAACAGTCTTTGGTATTCTTGTCTTTGTACTTTTAATAGTTATGAAGGTACCTCAATCATTGAGTTTTGATTTTTAGTAGGTATTCTTGCTTTTTATTTTTTTAAAAATGATTTTTTTACGATATCATATGATATAACTCATTTTGTGCTACCTAATCTAATTTTTGATGCAAGTGCCACTAAAGAGAAGGATTAGAGAGCTTGAGATGAAGAAGGGGAAAACGAGAGTGGAGAAGTGGAAAAGTTGAGAGAAAGTGAAATTGATGAGAGGTTAGGATTTGAGTATTTTATTTATTTCTACTTTTAGGATTAGAAAATTAGAAATTTAACATTAATTTATAAGTAATCCAATATAAATGAATAAAAAAAAGTTCAGGTCATTTCGAGTGACTAAACCCACCCTGTGACTCAATTCATTTTGGGTCAGATAATTTCAATCCGGATTATTTCGGATTTTGGATTAACATATATGATTCATGATCCTACTCATAACGGATGAGTTGTGTTAGATTTTTGGATTGAATCCAATTTTACTATATCTAAGTAGGGTAAATATAAAAGTGAGCCTAACTTAACTTTGAATTAATTTTTATTTTAATATTAAATTAATAATTTTTCAAATAATAATAGATTTAATTAAATTATAACTTGACTTAAATGAATTATAATTAAAACAAATTAAAGTTATAATATCTTAATATTTAAAATACCGAGACTTCCTATGATGATGCCTAAACAACAACAAAATGGATGTTTGATTTTTTTTCTTAAAAATATAAATTTTAGTTTTTTTTTTCTTTTACTTTCTTATAAGAATTTTTAAATTACTGGCATTAAAATTATGTAGCATTAAGACACTTGCACATGGAAGGTTACATCATCATCCTAGATCTCACCCAAACACGTGCTTTATTTAGTTAAATTCAATTCCATCTTAAAAGGGCTTGATTTGCCACCATTTCAAGGGTTTCAAGGGTTCATTTGCCACCATTTTTAGTTAAGGAGTTTATTTGCCACCATATGAAGAGTATAGGGGCTCATTTGCCTTTTACTCACAAATTTTTATAATAGAGTATAAGAGTACACCTGTTCCTTTACAATTTGTCATCGGTGCAAATAAAAGATCCAACTGCAAATCAAACAAGTAACAGTAATGAAGTACAATCTTCCGCATATACAAACAACAACTACATTTAAAAATTAACAACTGTTGAATAGGAAAATTGAGGATAGAATCATACTCCACCTCTTCTATCTTCTATCTAAAAAATGTAAGGATATTTGAATTTCAAGGTGAGTAGAGAGAAATTGAAAAATATTATTTATTATTATATAACCACCGTGTGATGATGTAAAAAAAAAAAACCGCAGATCCAAATTAAGAAGGGAAATTAATAAAAAGAAAAATCCTTGGTTAAGCCCCTCATCTTATATCATATCAGTACATTGGCCCCTGATCATTGCAACATCACCTGTGGCGATGATTCTGTCCTTTTTCTTTAATTAAATGGCATGCCCTTTCAATGGTAGAGCCAGGATTTGAGATAAGGGGATCAACTTTATCGACACTAAATTAAATTTGTATTTTTATTGTCATAAATTAAATTTACATTTAAAATTTTATCTTTCCTAGTTTATTTAGCTATGTTAATTTGTTTTTTGCATATAGTTTGACTTAATGATTTTATCTAACAAATAAATGATAATTAAAAGCTTTTTTCCCCAAAAATAGTCTCTTGAATATTTTCACTTATATCAGAAAAAATTTTTAGTTTTCATTAATTTACTTATATATAATTATTAAGTTAATTAATATAAAATTAATGAAATTGGGTAACTAAAAAGGACCAAAGGGAGTAACACTTAATTGTACAGCTGTAAACTTGTATTTAAAATCAAATTTAGCCATGTTTAATGTGAAATATACTGTCTTCAAAGTTTTTGATAATTAGTGAATAATTGTCTTATGT